AATTATCCAAATTTGAAGCTTCTAGCTCTTATACTTTAGGAGATATAAACTTTTGAGGGTTGCCACGGCCCCTTTGGGCGGAGATAGATCCATCATAGCTCGTTGGACTTGGGAGGTCATTCTGCGTATATATACTTATGTCTCTAGCATCAAAAGTGCCTAAATATATATATATATAATTTTACCACCCATCTTTAAAGAATCGAAACACTAGCTCACGTGATTTCATTCTGATTTCTGGCATATCGGAAAATGCATTTTCCGATTTGCCACTCTCTAGTCGGCGGATCCGGAAAATTTTTAACACTTTATAAATCGGATATATACACCAGTATATGTTCCAAATTTCAAGTCTCCAGCTTTAATAGCGCCGACATGACCTACCTTGCAACAAAAAAATCTAGATATAAAGTGACGAACCAAATCATTAGCACAGCATGCAAGCGTTTCATTATTGTTTGCATATTTATTATTCATTATTTTATTTTTGAGATCAACTAAAATCTGAAAATAGTAGTTTAAGCGAAAATAGGAATCTCCTTGTTAGAAATATTGTGGTCCTGAAAAGGACCGATTTGTTGGATGTTGCTTGTAATAATATACTAAACAGAATAGCGAAGCGATTTAAGCGCGCTCGCCACGGATACGTCTGGCCAGTTGAATGTCCTTGGGCATGATCGTGACGCGTTTGGCATGAATGGCGCACAAATTTGTATCTTCGAATAGGCCAACCAAGTAGGCTTCGCTAGCTTCCTGTAAAGCCATTACAGCTGAGCTTTGGAAACGAAGATCAGTCTTGAAGTCCTGAGCGATTTCACGGACTAGACGCTGGAACGGCAACTTGCGAATAAGCAATTCTGTGCTCTTCTGGTAACGACGAATTTCACGCAGAGCAACTGTACCAGGGCGATAGCGATGAGGTTTTTTCACACCGCCAGTAGCTGGTGCACTTTTACATGCTGCCTTAGTAGTCAACTGCATACGAGGAGCCTTGCCTCCAGTTGATTTGCGAGCGGTCACACTTTAAAACTGAACAAAAGCTTTTTTTTTTTTTTATTTTTTTTTTTTACATGTTTGGTGTTTTGAGATTCTTAGTTACTTGATTTTATTTGGAGGCTTGTTTGTTTAAATTGTATATTTTTAGGAAAATCTCTCTTCTGCTCTACGCTGTTTCGTATTAGTGGATTTGTAGAATTTCGGTTTCTCTCTATAAATTTTTCTAGTATGTTGAAGTTATGTACGTCTATTGGTTTGATTTTTGCTTGTTTATACAGCTTGAAATTCGGTATGTAGTGCTGTGTGTGTGGGTCGCGTGCATTTCTACCTAGCGCGTATCGTAACATTTTTCTCTCAAAAAGTCCTAATTGTTCCATTTGTATGAATTTTATGTTAAACCAAGCTATGTATCCATGTGTTAGTATAGGCTGAATGATTTTTATACCCTGAACCCATTAAAAATGGGAAATCAGGGTATAATGTTTTTGTGT